AACAAACAAACATCAGATAGGAATAAAGGCTCTGCAGAGAATTAACTTCATAGGAAGCTACTTTCTTACTCAGAGAAATTGATAAAATAACTTTCTCTGTTGACCATCGCCTTTTTCTTCGCATCTTCTTTGGGTTATCCTTTCAAAACATATAAGAAAGCTCCTAAAGCCCTTATTCCAATGTTTGAGTCCTAGATAGGCTTGCCATCTTCATCAGAAGTTGCACCATGCTTTCCTTAATTTAATGTGGAGGAAAATTGCAGCAATATGAGTGGTACCTAGAAGTTTGTTTTTCTAAAGAGTAGAAGGTTAGTTGCTTTAACCAGAATCTACTTGATAGATAAGGTATTTGAAATTAAATGTTTTATTTTCTTATGTATTTAAATGTATTCTTGTCTAATTTTATAACATTTATATTTAAGACTGATCCAATCAAACACTCCTAGATATAGAAAGTATTTTAGAAGTAATATTTACTTTAATTTTTTTTCCCACCGTAGGCATACTTTATACATCATCCTTGACAAATTGTTGAACGAGATCTACTGAAATTTATGGCCTGGGTGATTTAGAGGTTGAAGGTGTCACTAACAGGCAAGAAGACACAGGAAAATGATCAGATTTAGGCCATAAAGGAAACACAGGGAGGGCATGGTGAGATTGTTTCAGGGCAGAGTTTCTCAGCCTCAGAACTGTTGGCCAGATAATTCTTTGTTGTGAGAAGCCGTTCTTTGCTTTTATGACGGTTAGCAACATCACTGGCCTTTACTCACTAGATGCCAGGAGCATCTCCAACCCCCATTGTGATAACCAAAAGATGTCTCTAGACTTGTCAAATTTCCCTGAGGAACAAAATCACCCTCAGTTGAAAACCACAGATTTAGGCTTTTGAGATTGAGGAGCAGGAAGCAAATCCAGATGGATATGTCTGGCAAAGAGTCGGCAGTGTTAGAATGGGGCAGTAAAATAAGTTAGGCTGTAAAGATCAGGAGACGGTCACTTGAAAATAATAGTTGAAGTCAGGAAACGATGAGACACTAAGGGAGAACTTGCAAATAGAGAAGAGAGTAAGTCCAAGGGCAGTTTGCAGAACATTACTTGCGTTCGGAAGATGAGTAGAAAAGGCAAAGAAGGGAAAGGAGGGAGTGGTGCTGGGCTGAGAAGTCAGAGGAGAAGAGAGTTCAAGGTCAAAAAAGTCAAGAGGGAAGAGAGTTTCAATTATATTATTATGTATGCTCCAACCATGTTAAAATACTGGAGCAAACTTCTCTACATTTGTGATTTTTGTTTTATAATCAGATGGAAAAAAATGTGTGGCTAAATATCATTTCAGTAAATGACAGTTGGTATGTGAGTACTGAAACAAGTAGGACTCCCAGGATCACAAATATAGAAATCTAACTCTGGATTATTAAATAAAAAAGTGTAACTTACATTGAGCAGGCCAATGGCAAATAAAAAAAATTTAGGCCTCAGAAAAAACAAGAATAGTGAGTCACTCTGTTTTCTTTCTCTACTTATCTATATTCCTCTTGTTTTCACATTGATATCATTCTTCTTTCACATTCTAGATAGATTTTCTGCGTTTCTAAGTTCATAGGGCAGAAAAACAGCTGCTACCACTGGGACATTATATTTTCTTCATTCAACAAAGCATTAGGCAGATCTATACCTTCTTAACCATGATTCTAGATTCTCAGGGAAAGATTCTAATTGGCTTATCTCTGGTGAGGTGCCCATCCATGAACCAGTAAACCATGGCCATGAATTCACAAGAAAATGCTCATGGTAATTTTGCCAATGGGAGGTTGCTGATGGGCACAGGAGGAAAAAGAAATAGGAGGCAATTCCAAAAAGAAGGACTGAAGCTATCTTCAGAGTTGATACGAAGAGCTGGAAGGAAGGAGAAAGTCATTGAAAGGTCTGATGTATGGAATAGTAGTGTGATATCCTGACAATTGAGTTTAGAGAATTTGAGATAAGAAGTTGTCTATGGTATCAACAGAGAAGAAAAAGGTGCTGAGGGGAGGATAGAAAATCCAGTCGGGGATGATGAGGGCCTGCGTGTGGTGAACGACAGTAGGAATGGAGAAGAATAGATGTTGACCAGGGACAAGTCCCAAAGGGCTTGATGACTGACTGTCAGATGTGAACAGGAGCAAGAATTCAAAGAGGCCTTCAAGGCATCTAAACTGAGTGATTTGTAGGAAGTGATTTGAACTTAGTAATGAGATAGAGGAACTAGAGAATAAATCAATTTGGAGAGTAAAGGCATAGAGGGGTAAATGATTCGCATTTTTAATAAGTGAACATTCCAAATAAGAAAAATGACCCCACTTCAAACACAGACAGTAGTTACAATTTCTTCTGTTAACTGGAACTTTGCAGTTGCTTGAGAAGGACTTTGCATATATCATCTTCATGTTGGCAATGAGGTCAATGAGACTCAGAGAGGTGAAGTTACTTGAATACATATAGAAAGCCAGTAAAGGGTAGATGAAAGAAATGAAGCCAGCTAATCAGACTTCAAGGCACTACATCTCTCCTTGAAAACACAGTCACCCTCACAGAAAACAAAATTGCAGACTTTCCTGCATGTTAATCCTAAAAGTAGGTCCCTTGGGGAGGAAATTTCAGCTGGGTAGGAAAAGATACTCTCTGTTTTAATGCTACTAAGTTCATAGTAGGAGGGTCAGGCAGCTTGCCACCCTGAGGGCTTCAGGATGGGCAACCACAAGGCCATGATAAATGTGCTTATTTCTCTTAATTGCCAATTTATTCAAAGGCAACAGCCATCTAAGGACAGGAAGATCTGGCCAAGGATATGGTCACATGGAAAGGAAGGGGTAGAAAGATGGCCACAGGAATGCCAGCTCTTTTGCCTAAAGCTCATAAATCTGTCTGCATGGTGACTCTGCTGGCCTAGAGATCAGAGGTCTCTGGCCCAGGACACTGTCTCCAGGTCCTGTCCAGACATCCCTGAGCAATCTTTAAGGACAGATTTTAGAAGCTAACCGCCAGGGCTTGGCCTGGCCCCCGGGTATGTCACAAGACCTGAGTGGGGAAGCACTGGAGCAGCTGCATAGCCACTCACCCGGTGAGAGACAAGAGTCTAATAGCAGGTTATGGTCCTCCAGGACTAAAAAGCAAGCCAGGCAGGCCAAAATTGGGTGGTCAACGTGAGCTAGCTTCTTTGTTAGAAAACAGGAAGTGCAGTTTTCAGTCAAAGGATTACGTTCCCCTGGGCTGTCCTGGTTCTGTGGAAGAAGCGTTCTGTCCTTTCAGTTGGATAGAAGAAACAAATAGAAGTGCCTCTAATCTTCTGGTGCTTCGGCATCTCTGTCTCAGTGGATCACACGCACATTTATGCATGTCCCCAGCATGCCTAATGCTGGCTTCACCAGTTCTCTCCATACTGAACCTAGAAGACATTACTTTTTATCTATCAATCTATTGTTGCTGGCTGTATAACACACATGCTGTAAAGGGCACAAATCTTAAGTATGGATTGATAAATTTTTTTGTGGGCATGTATCCTAGTACCCACTCAGGTCAAGATATAGAACATTTCACCAACTTACAGTGTTTTATTATACACTTCAATCATCAATACCCTCCCCCATCCAAAGGGAACAGCTATTTTAATTTCTGTCATTATAAATAATGTTTACATATTCTAGAACTTCATGTAAGTGAAGTAAGACTTTCTTTAAATTTTGGCTTATTTCATACAGCATCATGTCTATGTGATTCTTCCTCATGATATTGTGGCATGTGTCAGTAAGCTGCTCATTCTTACTGCTATATAGGAATTCATTAGATACATATATGATACATTTATCTGTTCCCCTTTTTATGGACCTTTGAGTCATTTCCAGTTTTAGGGAGTTATGACTATGGCTGCTATACACATTCTTGTATAGATCTTTTGGAAGACATGTACTCTTATTTCTCTTAGGTAATTACCTAGGTTTGAAATTTGTGGGATATAAGACTTAGGAGTAGGCTTAAGTTTACTATTTAGACATTACCAAACAGTCCTCCAAATGGGTTAAACCAATGTATACCCCATTAGCAATGGATGAGACTCAGAATTATTTCATATCCTCACTAATGCTTGATGTTAGCTTTTTAACATTTTGTTTATTCTGTAAAACATTTTTCAAAGCTAGAAGAGATCTCATTTACCAGCCTCTTTCTTCCTTCTTGGCATATCTCTTTTATTTTTCTCTAGTTATTTTTTTTTTCTTCCTTAGTGGCAATTAAATCTTTTAATTCAACCACAGTTGAATTATATGAATAGAAAAGGTGTTACTTTGTTAATGTAATGTTTGACAAATTAAGAAATAAATCACTAACTGAATGGATCCAGACTTAGCAGAAAATAAAACTTGCCAATATGCTATTGAGTTATACCCAGGGTTCATTATATGGGACAAATCTTGGCCTTTGTGTCTAACAAACATTCTGTTAGATCAACCCTTGAAAAGTAAGATCATTTTACATTACATTAGAGACATGGACAAGAGTTAAAGTTTAAATGCTAGCAACTATGGTAAAGGCTTTGAACAAATTATCTTATTTAATCCTCTCAATAACACTGTGAGTTTGGAATTTTTTTCCTCAGCTTACACAGGAGGCTTAGGGTTTATATGACCTACAAAGAACCCTCAGGTAGTGTGAAAACAGAGGTGCAATATCACTTTTTCACAGTGTAAATGTAAAATTATTCATCTGAAAAAAAAAGAGAGAGAGAAAGAACTTTTACTGTTATGTTACTCACGGAGATGCAGTCACTATTAATCAACTGTGAACATGTGATTAAGTATGTTGGCTAGTTATATATTAAATCAACTGCATGAGGCTTTAGATCATTTCAGGGCAGCTGTAACTATTGCCATTAAATTGATTTGCATTGTAAGTTAAGAAGTTATCATTTCAATTTTGTTTAAAAGGCTATCATAACATTATGGATTGATTTCAGATCATTAAACTGTATATAGTTATTTCAGTTACTTATTACTGTGTAACAAATCACCCTAAAATTTGTGGCTTAAAAGAACAACCACCTTATTTGTGTAAGATTCTATCATCTGGACTGGGCTCAGCTGGGTGGCTTGTCTCTGCTCCATGTGGCATTAGCTGGATTGACTCGTGTGTTTGCAGTCAGTTGGCAGCTCTACGAGGCCTAGATGATGCAAGATGGCCTCATTCACAAGTCTGGCACCTCAGCTGGGGTGACTGGAACAGCTAGGGTCTGGCTGTGTTTCTTTTTCCCCTTCAGGGCTTCCCTACTCACATGGCCTCTCATGCTTAAAGACTTTATGTCAGATTTTCTCATAAGTCATCTCATTTCCATTACATTCCCAATACAATGTATTCAAATTTTCATGAGCAACACTCTTAAAATTATTATGGGACTCTAAATTATTGTTAAGGATGATGATCACATCTTTTGCAACCTAACTGGTAATAGGTCTTCCAGAAAAGAAAGAATTCATCTTTAGCTGCTAACCACAAAAATGGGTGTATACAGAGCATAATGACTGCATCTCCTCCACCTTTCCTGTAATGATTCCATCTTCATATGCACCATATGCAAGGGAATGATTGCACATCTTTCTGCAATGTAATTATAGCAAGTTTATCAGCAATGCAACAATCCTAATCTCCACCTGAAATGCAATTGTTACCATCATTATGGGCAATATAAGGAGCATATCTCTACCATAAATGTAGTTAACACATTGTCTTTTGCACACTAGAGATTACATTTCTTCAGGAAATGCAATAACAGTTCTATCTGTAGTGCAATGATCCCATCTATTCGTGCAAGTTAATTATCACTTTTCCACTTGCCAAGCTATAATGATAGGTATTCCTATAGGCCAATGATTGCATCTCTGCCCTCAGGGTAATGATCACATATGCAACGTGAGATAACAAAATTGTCTTCAGGACAATGATCAGATTCTTTTGCATTGGGTAATGATAACATATCCACTTTAACCTAAAGATAGTAGGCATGTTGTCAATGCCGTGATGCCAACTTCCCCTGCAGTGACTATGGGTGACAGACATTAATGCAGCATGTATGCACATCTACCTGGATGTGTAAGAATTTTGTAGAAGTCAAAGTCCTACTTATAGGTAGCATAGTGATAGGAACAAAAGTGCTAGAAACAAAGAAATATGAGTTTAAATAGATGCCACCACATAGTCCATGTGACTTGGAGCATATGGCTTAGCTTCTCTGAACTAGGTTGCAAAACTGAGAATGATAACAGCTTTTTCTGTAAAAACATTAGCATGAACATTACATTTCTCAACATAGAGCCTAGCCCTTAAGTCAAATTTATTAATTTTCTTCTCCTTCCTGTTGATCTCTGGACCATATCATTGTCCAGACTCCCCTAGGATCTGAATCCATTATCACCTCTCCCCGCTCCAGCTTCAACTAAAATCTGCACATTCTTATTCTTAGGCTCTTCTTCTTACCCTCCCTTCTGATTTTTTTTCCCCATTTCTGCCTACAAATATGCTTCTGCCTCTGTATTAGTCCGTTCATGCACTGCTATGAAGAAATACCTGAAACTGGGGAATTTATTTTAAAAAGAGGTTTAATTGGCTCACAGTTCCACAGGCTGTACAGAAAGTATGGCATGGGAGGTCTCAGGAAACTTTCAATCATGCGGAAAAGGGAAGCAGTCACATCTTGCATGGTCAGAGCAGAAGGAAAAGAGAGAAAGGGGAGGTGCTACACACTTTTAAACAACCAGATCTCATGAGAACCCACTGTCATGAAAGCAAGGCAGGAAATCCACCCCCATGATCCAATCACCTCCCACTGGGCCTCTCCTCCAATTCTGGAGATATAATTTGACATGAGATTTGGTCAAGGACACAAATCCAAACCATATCAGCCTCCTATATCTTACAATGTTATTTACTGACTCTAATTTTATTAGTTCCATTGGAAATTACATTTTCATAGTTTCTAAAGTTGTTCTACCTGTTTTCTTGTTTGGTGACCCTTATCTATCCACACATTCAAGACAGAAACCTAGACAGCAATTCACTCCTCACTGTGATTTACTCTGTATTTCCAATCAGGCACTACGTGCTATTGTTGACTGTTATGCTGACCTTCAGTCTGTCTCCATTACTACTGTCCTAGTCCAGGCCTTTGGTACTGTTCCCACAAGTGGATATTTAACTTGTCTTGGGTTGTGAAAACATTTTCTAAGGAAAAAGGAAGAGATTTACGGATATGAGTATATTAAAGTTCTGAAATGTCATTAAATCATAAATTACAAGAAACAGTGGAAAAATTTTTAAATAGACAAAAAGTCTTTGCTAGGCATTTTCCAGATAAAGTATTAACATTCTTGGTAAGCAAATAACTTTTTGCCAATTAAATATAAAATTATGAATGCCTCAAGAGAAAAAATAGGAAAACACATCAACATTCAATGTATTAAATAAGAAATTCCAATAACTAATAAATGTAAAATGATTTTAATATCTATATTAATTTTTTAAAGTTCATACAAGTATTGACCGACTTATGACCTATGCAACTTACGACCATTCGACTTTACGACCACAATCGCTAGCCATGACTGCTCCACGTCTGGCAGCACAAACGTTGCCCAGCTGGGCGTACGACAGTGCGGACCAGCTTCTGGCAGCACTACCAACTCTGCATGCACCATTTCAACTGTATGTATAGCCTACTCAACCTACGACGAAATCGTGTTACAACCGTTCGGCTGTCCCGACTATGGTCGTAAGTTGAGCACTAACTGTATGTATATAATAATATCAGTTATCATATTTTCAGAGATGAAAATAGACCATATTTCTCACAACTGTCCAATAACTTCCTTGTAAGTAACCTGTCCAAGCCTTTCTCTTTAGAAAGACAGATACACAAATAGACAAGTAGATACAGACATAAACATAAACATAGACAAGTACATATAGACATGTAAAGAGAACTTATAAGACTCAACAGATAGGAAAGACAGGTTTCGGAAATCTCCAAAACAAGAAAGCTGTTAACAATAATTGCAATATTCAAAAGAAAATGTTAAGAAACTATTATACTCAAATATGTAGAAAGTTATGACCCTTAAATGTAGGGAATGTCTCAAAGGAGACAGTGTGTGTTCCTTAATTATTTCTTTTCCCTACATTTCCCTACACACACCCACACACACATTTTTAGAGATAAACCAAATTAAGGATTAGTGAAAAAATTTAAAAATTCCAGCAATATTCACATTGAGCACAGAAAAGAATATATTTGAGATTGTAGGGATGTTGAATAAGTAGTGTGGAGGATATTTTGAGAAAATGTCTGAGAATAAAACGTAGAACAATGAGATAAAAATGGCAAGAAAGAAAATTTTAGAATAAACAAAGAATGGAGACCTAAAATAGAAATAATAGGTTCTCCTGAGGAAAAAGGCTTGGAAAGATTAGGAAAATGAAAAGAAAGACAATAATCACATTCGTAATAAAAGACATTTCCATAATATCGGGGAGAAATTGTATTGGTAAGCTGTAGAGGTTTACTGAGAACTACAGAAAAATGATAGAATTAAGGGTCTATATTCTTCATCTTTTTTAATGATAAGGATTTTTTGAATGCTAAAATCACTTTGATAAAAATAAAACTTACAAGAATTTTTAAAATACATAAATACAAATACATTGACACCTTGGGAGGAACAAGAATTTGCCTAATCTGAGGGCTTTTAATCTAAAACATGAAATGCTAGAAGAGAAATAGCCATGCCTATAAAGTTTTGATAGGAATATTCTGTGTACTTTTTTTACTTTTTAAAAATGTTTTATTTATCTTTGCTTTTCTTTTTAATGAATGCATCCAAGTTACTTTGCACTAAAGAGAAAAAAACATTCTTCATAAAATAATAAAAAAAAAAATAAGAGAAAATTATGTTGTTCATGGTTGCAAGGAACCAAAGAATGGGAAGAGAAGAAAATAAATTTGAAAAATGTGCTTCCTTTTGGTTGAGACAGGAGACAAAATTCATATCAAATGGAGGTAAAGGGGGAAAAACAACTCTCAATAAAGCACCAAAAGCAGTTTTTAAAAATCCAGCCCTATCTGCTTTCTGCTTAGTTAAAATAAGTGCAAATTTCAGCATTTTGCAAAGATATATAATGTAAAATTAATGTTATAGTAATACAAATATGTTCCTAAACCTTTAATTTTCAAAACTTAGAACTTTATGTGTGTTTTTTTCATGTGCATGAAGAAAGAAAAATAAATCTGAACTACATACCTTGTCTCAGCAAGACACTAAATGATAGTTTCTTCTAAAATGACAATGAAGGTGAGAGAGGTTAAACAATTACTTTGAAATGGCTAAGATAATGGCCATTATTCTTAGCAAACTAATGCAGGAACAGAAAACCAAACACTGCATGTTCTCATTTATAAGCAGGAGCTAAATGATGAGAACACATGGACCCAGAGAGGGGAACAACACACACAGGGACCTTTTAGAGGGTGGAGAGTGGGAGGAGGGAGAGGATCAGGAAGAAAACAAGTAATGGGTACTAAGCTTAATACCTGGCTGATGAAATAATCTGTACAACAAACCCCCAGGACATGTTTACCTAAGTAACAAACCTGCACTTGTACCCCTGAACTTAGAAGGTAAAAAATAAATGACTAAGATACTTTTTAAGTAGTATTAACAGTGTGATGCATGCTGGAGAAGTATACTGTTTTCAAAGCAAAAGGGAAAATTGGGGAAAAAAAAGTAGGAGGGATTATGTATATGAATGTGTGTGTGTGTGTGTGTGCACGCGCACGTGCGTGTGTGCATGTGTGTACAACATTTAAAGCATTGCATAAGGCAAAAATGCTGCTATTACCACAATAATTCACCAGAAGATTAAAACAAACACAAATATCTTAGAAAAGAGGAGAAAAGTCATTACCATTGAAGGGCAACCACACTGCCTACATGGAAGCCCTCACCAAATCATGTGTTTATCGACTCCATGACTTATTTTATTTTACTCCTTCTGATTAGAAAGTCCATCCTATCATGGCCTCTGAGGGGTAAGAATTTAAACAGACATGGGTATGTAAACAAGCAGCAGAATTATCAGCTCTAAGTATATATTCAATAACTAGGCAAAAAATCTTTAATTAAATTAATTTGTTTTTACAGTCTCATAGAATGCAACCTTTTTTTTTTTTTTTTTTTTTTTTTAACTTTAAGTTCTGGGATATAAGTGCAGAACATGTAGGTTTGTTACGTAGGCGTAGGTGAGCCATCGTGGTTTGCTGCACTTATCAAATCATCACCTAGGTTTTAAGTCCTGCATGTATTAGCTATTTGTCCTAATGCTCTTCTTCCCCTAGATCCCCATCCCCCAACTGGCCCTGGTGTGTGTTGTTCCCCTCCCTGTGTCCGTATGTTCTCATTGTTCAACTCTCACTTATGAGTGAGAACATGCAATGTTTGGTTATCTGTTCCTGTGTTAGTTTGCTGAGGATGATGGCTTCCAGATCCATCCATTTGTTTTAAAATATGCATGTGAGTACATGCTAGAGCCTCCCAGACCTCCCACGGACCTGCACAATGCTAGAGACAAGACAACTCTTGGTCCAATAAACAGACTTTTTAGTAACCAACACACCATTCCTAAAAAACCAGAAAGCACCAGGAAAAGAATAAGTTTTGAAATTGGCCTCTTCATAACTTTTCTCATTGCACTCTTTATTATATTTATTTATGTGTAAGTATATATTTTCCTTGTCTTTTATTTTATTTAGGCACTTTCTAGAGTTCAACTGTCGCTCAGGGCATCAAACTAATTTTCTCCTCAGCAATGATTGCAGAGCTGCATGCATAATGAACCCCGTTATTGCTCTTGTTATTAAGTAGGCTGTTTGGGGACATGGATGGGAGGGAGGCCACAATCAAAAAGCAATGGCTCTTCCCAGCACTGCCTGCCCCCAATCATAGACCACTGAGCAAAGGAAAAATAACACATAGAAATAGAGGCAACTGATACTGATCCTTGATGTGAGGAAATGTCAAAGGTTTGCATTGGCTTTGGGGCACTGACTTTTGTTATTTATTTAATGCAAAATAGAATGGTTCTTTATTGACCACTTGAAAAGACTGCATGTATTGAAAACCAACACCATGTCAGCATTTGCCTTGGGTATTTTCTGAATGTTATCTCATTTAATCCTCACAGCAAGTTTATGAAGACAATGTAGTCATTCTGTTACTAGTTAGGAAACTGAGGCTGAGAGATGCTAATGGACCTGTCTAAAGTTTTCTACATGGTCCGCAAGAGGTAAAGTCCAGCAGAGTGGTAGACTACAGTCCAGACATCCCAAGGATGTGCTTTCATACCTTTGTAGTTACCAGAGCCGGAAGCTGTCCTGTTTCTCTATGTGGTCATAAACAGCAAGGTTCCCAAATTTTAATGTGTATTTGAATAAGCTGAGACCTATTTAAACTGAAGATTCTGATGAAGTAGGTGTAAGGAGGGCCCTGACTTTCCCATTTCTAGTAAGCTCCCAGGTGATGCCAATGCTATTGGTCCATGGTTCACACTTCCAGTAGCAAGAATGAAGGACAAGACTGACACCTATTATTATAGAGTCATACCTTAGATTTAAAAGGGAAAAGTAGAAATTAATGGTAAAATTCAAACACAGTGGTTAAACATTATCTAGTATTAAATTATTGACTGCACAGCTTGGGCAACATGGCAAAACCCTGTCTTTACTAAAAATACAAAAGTTAACCAGGAGTGGTGGCAGGCACCACTCCTCTAGCTGTAATCCCAGCTACTGGGGAGGCTGAAGTAGGACAATTATTTGAATCCTAGAGGCAGAGGTTGCAGTGAACTGAGATTGTGTCACTGCACTCTAGCCTGGGTGACAGAGTGAGACTTTGTCTCAAAAAAAAAAAAAAAGATTATCAACTCTAGTTAGATTTTATAGATTGAATAGACTTATCCTAGGGCTAACAGCTTAGGGTAGACTTCAAAATAAATCAGGAATAATAAAAATCACTATAAATGCCTATGGTTTCAGGGACAGAATAAGAAGAAAAAGGATTTGTATAGGTGCCTTCACGATTTCACGTAGCCATGTTCAGTCTCCTATCCTCCAGTCTTCCTTAAAAAACTCTAAAGGACCAGCCGGGCGCGGTGGCTCAAGCCTGTAATCCCAGCACTTTGGGAGGCTGAGGCGGGTGGATCACGAGGTCGAGAGATCGAGACCATCCTGGTCAACATGGTGAAACCCCGTCTTTACTAAAAATACAAAAAATTAGCTGGGCATAGTGGCGCCTGCCTGTAATCCCAGCTACTCAGGAGGCTGAGGCAGGAGAATTGCCTGAGCCCAGGAGGCGGAGGTTGCGGTGAGCCGAGATCGCGCCATTGCACTCCAGCCTGGGTAACAAGAGTGAAACTCCGTCTCAAAAAAAAACAAAACAAAACTCTAAAGGACCAACTTGTTCCCTTATTAGCAACTTTCAGGTACGACCAAGGGAGACTCATCTGTTACAGACTGGCAGGAAAGACTGAATACCTTAGTTGTTACACTTTGGGAAAGGTGCTTAATTTCTCTAAGCTCCAGTAGCTTATCTTTAAAAAAAAAAAAAAAAAAAAAAAAAAAAAAAGTTGGCCAGGCGCATTGGCTTGTGCCTGTAATCCCAGCACTTTGGGAGGCTGAGGTGGGCAGATCACAATGTCAGGAGTTTGAAACCAGTCTAGCCAGCATGGTGAAACCTGTCTCAACTAAAAATACACACACACACACACACACACACACACACACACACACATATATATATATATATATATATATATATATATATATATATATATAATTACCCAGGCATGGTGGCTCATGCCTGTAGTCCCAGCTACTCAGAAGGCTGAGGCAGGAGAATTGCTTGAACCCAGCAGGCAGAGGTTGCACTGGGCCAAAATAACACCACTTCATTACAGCCTGGGCAACAGAGCTAGGCTCCATCTCAAACAAAAACAACAACAACAACAATAACAAAAGTTAAGTGCTGCATCAGATACATACAAAGTGTTCAGCAAATTCTTGTTCTTCAGCATGTCTCTTCTCCCCAATTAATCTTTTGTACTCCTCACTGTCTTTGTCAAATACATATGTTACAGACATTTTCTTTTAGTCTATACCTTTGCCTTTTCAGTATCTTTTAATGGCACTTTCTAAAAAGAAGTCTAATTTTGATGAAGTCCATCTTATCATTTTATTTTATTTTATGGTTAATGTAAACCACTTCCCGTCAAAGAAATTTTTGCCAAATTCAAGTACTTAAAGGTTTTATCTTAAATTTCCTTTTAAAACTTTTGTAGTTTTAGGTTTTATATAGGTATATGATCCATTTTGAATGATTCTTACATAGATGATGAGGTAAAATTTGAGCTTTAAAAAAATTATACTTTAAGTTCTGGGGTACATGTGTAAAACATGCAGGTTTTTACATAGGTATACATATGCCATGGTGGTTTGCTGCACCCCATCAACCTGTCATTTACATTAGGTACTTCTCCTAATGCTGTCCCTCCCTAGCTTCCCACACCCCAACAGGCTCCAGTGTGTGATGTTCTTCTCCCTGTGTTCATGTGTTCTCATTGTTCAACTCCCTCTTATGAGTGAGAACATGCAGTGTTTTTGTTTGTTTGTTTGTTTGTTTCTGTTCTTGTATTATTTTGCTGAGAATGATGGTTTCCAGCTTCATTCATGTCCCTGCAAAGGACATGAACTCATCCTATTTTATGGCTGCATAGTATTCCATGGTGTATTTGTGTCACATTTTCTTTATCCAGTCTATCTTTGATGGGCATTTGGGTTGGTTCCAAGTCTTTGCTATTGTGAACAGTGCCACAATAAACATATGCGTGCATATGTCTTTATAGTGGAATGATTTATAAAGCTCTCCAACTTTGTTATTCTTGTACAACATTTTGCTTTGACTATCTATATAAATTAAAAAATAAAATTTTAAATATCTCTAAAATAGGCATGTGGATATTTTGGATGGGATTGTGTTGAATCTGTAGATCAAATTGAGGAAAACTGATATCTTAAAAATTTTAGCCTTAAAATGCATGAAGATTTATTTAGCGTTTCCAGAATACAGGGCTTGCACATATTTTGTTAATTTTCTTCTCAGAAGAAATTTTGAGAAGAATTCTTCTTGAAGCTATTGTAACTGGTGTGGTCTTAATTTGTTCTTAGCTATTATATAAAATACAACTGATTTGTATTATTGACTTTGACTCCTACAATGCTA